CACTTATCTCAGTTCTCTCACAACCTTGGTCGACTAAAATTCACCATTTTCTCTTAGACTCTACTCTGATCTCTCTTGTGTTCCTCCTACTGTCTATCCCAGTGGGTAGCCAAAAGGCAGCAATCAAAACCGGCCCACCATAGTGCATGGTTGATGGTTGTGCAAACTGAAGTGAAGTCAAATTTCATACCTGTATAAAAGCGCCGTATTTAAAATCACGGCTTTATTATCCCGGTGGGCTTCAATTGGGCCGCTTCTTTGGTGTCGCCTCGTTGAAGCCACCGGTCTAAAATCTTAAGTAACAAGAAGCTTACGTAATTTATAAATAAGCGGTATTTCGCCATCACATCCTTCAAGGCAAACGTCCCGATATGGAAGAGGATTGCTGCCATACCAACAGATGCCCACTTTTATCCTAACAGTAGATCGTGTTTGGTGAATCCCATAACGGTGTCATACACGTAAGAGGTATTGCTGACGCAATGGTTCATTCGCTGTCGCCGACGTGCTTTGAATCCTATGGTCCGAAGTTCCAGCGTCGCCACCGCCCTCCACCTTTGGTGGTGGGCAGCTTTGATGTCATCCGGTTCAAAACCACACCTCACCTATCGGGGCCTTATGTTTTCCGCCACTCTAGGTTCCGGGTCTTAGGCCACAGGTTTCCATCACTGAAAAACAGGCGTTTGCGGCTATGGGGTCCACCCCGGCTGCTGTTCATCACACTAAAGTGTGTAATAAAAAAGATGAGTTGTGTTCCACCTCGTAACTAGCAACAGTTCAAACTGGTGTTACCCATAGGAGCATACAATCCCATCTCATCTGTATGTGAGGTAATTTCCTAATGCTTTGTTCTCTGTCAACTGGGTTTCATCTGTCTTTAGGCTACTCATCGATCAAATTGCGTGATCTCAACGTCCTCCGCAATCTACAACCAAGGTATAACTCGCCATGCTTCCCTGATTTTTCGTATGTGGCGTTTTTACTTCTAATTTTTCGAGTGGAATTCGTCACGCACTGCTTTGTACGTAACAATACATTACACCGTTCTGTGCTCATCCTTCTGTCCTTTCGCTGTCGAAAACCCGAGTGCATCGAATTTCAGATTATATTGGGCTTGGTGTTTTGCATGTATTCCGTTTACCTTTTATTATTCTTCCTCGCTTCACATTACTTCGTTTTCGCTTTCTTCAAAAACCGTTGGGAGTTGAAATGTTGTCGTATCTCAACGAAACGAAGGATGAAAAATGGTCACTGGACATTTATTTACTTTAGCATACCACTTGGGCGATACTAGAGCTTCATTCTGTCCACTTCACGGTATTCTGGCGTAACCTTATCAGTAGACTGTTGTGCCTATAAAGGTTGCAATTTGCCCTTTGGAAGCACTAGTGTCTGGTTCACTGTTTATATTGACAGTCAGAATCAGTTTATTCGTTCCGGTATTTCCCAAGACAACCGTTGGTTGACCGCAGCCTCTTGAAAATAGATTGTGTCATAGTTTACTCAGTAAATAAAAAAGGATTACCGTGCTCTGCTGCACACATCACGTGTTTTGACTACGAATCCACCATTCGTATTGCATTTTATATTGCTCTTGAACGGTTTGTATATTCATGTTCGGGTTCGTAGTACGGACTCTTCTGAATAATCATCCTGTTTTTATCAGGGATTTTTCTTGTGAGTTTACCATGGCATATTATCCCCTTTCGGCCACAGTCGAATAGGATATCGGTTGTGGCTATCAGATGTGATTAGGGAACATTACATACTAGAGCTAAACGCAGTCTGTTTCTATCCGTTTTTATCATTGCGATTTTCTCTATCATGACTTTGTTTTTACTTTAGGGGGTTACGGCTATCGTGGTACTCGACGCCGGCGACCCGATCAAGAAGGACGGGTCACAAATGGAGATCATTCGGTGGATGAGGAACAAACCGGGGTGAAGAATGCCCCGATTTCGCAAGACGCTAATGGGCAATTGACCAAGCAGATAGAACAAATGGATCTAAATGGTGCAGCTCCACCCGTGTCTGTGCCTGAGAAAGCGGAACCAAATGTGGGGACTGATGCCGCGGGAAAGTAGACCGTCTAGGACAACAACTCGCATGTAGTCGTTGTTGTTCCTTGTCGCAGCCCCATTATGGACCAATGTTACTTGCGGCGATTTTTTTGTCTCAATGTGCCCTCCAGCTAACCAATGCATGCATGTTCCTATCTCTGTTTCCATCGTTCCGTCTCGCAATTTCTCGGTCTCCGTGATTGTTGCATTTTGAGGACTATTTTGCGAGCATGCCATTATTCTCGGCTGTCTGGAATATACTTGCTCTACCAACCCACCAGCTAATCGGCCGTCCAGTTACAATTTTTCATGCACACTTGCTACACACTGACCCTGTTGTGTGCTATACTACGCGCTGCTATCCTTCGAATCATCGCTCATGCCAAGTTGATCAAGCCTGTGTTGAGCTTTGCCAATCGTAGTCAACTTTACATGCATTTACACCACTGCCAATATCACGAACATCATCACAATCATCATTATCATCGGTCTCATCGTTATTACCACAGTCGTGCCACCAACACTGATAGCTGCACATCGTCATCTACGCTGCTGCGACCCTGGACGAATTCGGGAGGCGTTCCTGGTAGGTGCGCGTACGTGTGTATTCTGCGAAGTCATGTGTGAAGTAATAGCGACTTATCGGCATCCTGCATTATCTCTACAAGTCAGTCGTTTTCACACAGAATCTTGACTGCGTTCCGGACTCTTCCGTAGATCTGTCCTTCTTGTCGCAAGCTTAACTTCACCGTTGCACACTATGCGTAGCTGTTTTTGTCGTGAGGGCATAGTTTTATACTCGTTCGTTCAAATCGTGCCGCCGTTGATGTCGGTTTTTAGCCTTGTTAATTTTCTAGCAGCTACACAGTCACTACCAGTTATGGTTTCTTCCAATCAGCGTCCTTTCGCTCGCCATCCACTGGCACATTGACTGTCCGATCGTAACAGACTGATTATCTCACCTGTTTCATGGTTTCGCCTGAACCTGCCACTGGTCTTGCAAACCAACCATTACCACCAGCACCAACCCTTTCCCTCCTGGTTGCTACAATCCATGTAAAAATGTTCCGTTTTTTTTGCGAATTATACTTCCAAACTACAGTCTTTTTGTGTTTCCTATCGCTTTCATACAATCCTTGAATTCGGGAACTGTGGCATTCAATTCAGTAATTTGACCAGTATTGTTTCTTATTTTCAGCTACGTCTGTTCATACTAGAACCGTGACTGATACCAAGCGTTTCAATCTAAGATTTTTGACCCAAGAACCTTGGAGATGTATCCAAATATCGATTCCAAGTTGTTCTTTGAAGTTCATTGTGCGTTACTTGACTACCGCAGACGATCGGTGTTCCTTTAACGTTCGTACAAATTTTGCAGGTGACCACGTTCATGGTGGTATTAACTATCCACATTCCTTGCTAGATGGACATAGCAGTAGAATGTTTGAACAGAGTTTGGTTTATAGATAAGAGTAGCTCCGGTTGTGTTTCATACTTGCATCCATCCGAGCTGTTCCTGAAACAATAACGGTGTTTCTGTGACAAAAAACAGTTCATGACTTGTTTGTAGACACACAATATCTCCCGGTTGCCGTAACCAAAGTATGTGGTTCTTTCAGAAATCCTCAATTATACTTCACGGCCGGTCTAAGCCTGACATGCGAGGCAGCGTGGTGGTGGGGAAAGACCTGCTCATTGTTGGCTGTGATCCGGTCACGTTTGCCGTTCAAGCACTACATATTATTCCCAAATAGATCCGGTGGTCGTCTTAATCAGCATCTCCTGGGTCCATACCGTCAGATTTTCAAGAGATTTTGAACTGGGGTTTTCTAGCTGTTCTGAGTGATGACTGAAGTCGATTCTAACGCGTAATATTGATTGTTAACGGACTTGC